ATTATGATACAAATAATAAAGCCATACATCAATTATTGGTCTATGTAAGGGTTATCTGACTACCGACTGGTCTATTCTATAGTTATAAACAATCATCATATCAACACGATATGGATAAAAGTCCATTAATTAATTAAGTTATAGTATCAGATCATTAAATAGTGGTCAAGTATATATGAGCTAGCCATAATTAATGATGCTCGATTTAAGTGAAAATAAGATAAAAAAAAGAAAAGAATTTATTATTTATATTTTACAATTATCCACATCCATGTCCGCATACTGTCTACTTTCACTATTGGGATGCTAGAAGATATTAATAAATGAGTTTTATCAATAAGAAAATAATTCTTAGATATCTACAGGATAGATAAAAATATTTTTCTAGGAAAGAGTAATGCTATGATTTGAGACAACATTCATAACAAACTTTATATCAGATTAAAGCGCGTTGAAAATGGGATCTCTTGATGCTAAATAAAAGAGAGAAAAGCAATCTCGTAGTAGCTAGTTCAGGTAATTCCTAGAATCCTTCATTTTATTGACATGGAAAAATTTACTTTCATTAGATAATTGAAACTCGGATTTCAGAACGAATTTTCGAATAACAGATGTACTTCGTACAGTTGATGACTTTGATCGTGGTACTCAATTATTCTCAATTTTTGCTTCTCGCAACATAATTGATAATTAATTTCTGTTTTTATTTGTCCATAAAAACTGTTGAGATGCAAAAATAATAATCAAGCAAAAACAGAATATTTGAATCAGTTCGAAAATCCATCATTGAAGACATCAATTCAATTTCTTTCCTTTAAAAAACATTGACCAAGCATCTTTGCCATAGCCTTTACCCATCGATTGAAATGAATGAGATTTAGCATCCGGCACTATTTTGCCAAAATAATACACATTCCACGTATCTTTAGTATAACCAGTGTAGGGCTGAAGTATTTCAAATGATCGTGGCTTTGCATCCGACACTATTTTACCAAGATAATACACATTCCACGTATCTTTAGTATAACCAGTGTAGGGCTGAAGTATTTCAAATGATCTCGGCTTTGCATCCGGCATTTTATTTCCTAAGTAAAACACATTCCAATCATCTTTGCCGTATCCAAAGCCAAGATCTTGGAATGATCGTACTGATGCGTCAGCAACTTTACGATTATTAAAATAGACATTCCAATTGTCTTTCATGTAGATCATATGAATTGGATCAACATTATGAAAGCCTATTGGATGAAATGGAACTATTCCAGCATTGCTGGTGATAATACAGAAGAAGATAAAGATAAGAGTACTATGTCGATTCATCTTCACCATGAATAAGACTGTAAAGAAAAAAGAATATCAATATTTTACCTATCATCGATGATAAACGTCAATATAAATATTAAACCGACATGTAGGATGAAAGAAAAAAGAAGAAAATACTATTTGTTTGGTCGAACTGAGACGTGTACAAAACAGCTTTTCGTCGTATTACTACTTCGATTAGATGGTAAATATTCATTATTTGTAGCTTCATAACATGTCTGACTTTAGTTGAAGATAAATAATTTCGTATATGGATTCGTATGATTGAAGAAAGAAAAACAGCATACACCATTAAAACAAGTGTTGCTTCAAACTACGTGTAATTGTAAGAGATGGTCGACACCAAAATGATTAATAGTAGTATTTCTTCAATTATTACCTCGGTCAATTTGAAAACTCATTTTTGAAATACAAAATAGTATTAGTTTTGTTCAAAAACATTAAAATCAAATAAACTCAAAAGAATTTCTCAAGTGTAATACAGAGAGTTTCTGGTGGATGAATGAGATGTATGTCAAAAGTTTAGAATCTTTCTTCTATTTGATCACTAGGCAAAATGATATATTGACGAAGAAGACAAACCAAAGGCTATTTGATTTCCATTAGCTACCTAAGCAGTATGTTAAATTTAAATGAAAAATATTCATGCAAACAATAATGGGGAATATTTGTAAAAATCTCTTCTATATACGACTTGAAATAGACTATATTATGAACTTGATAATAGTCACTTTCATGTTTGTTTTCATGTTCATCGATTTTCGTACGAAGTTTCTCTTGTGTGATGAAATGTATTGTCAAAATCTATGCACAACAGCTTAGTGCCATCGATGTTGTTCCATATGCAGCGATCATAAAAGTTCTATATTGCAAGCGATTTCTTCATATTGAAACTTTTTCGACTTAACATTACTATTATCATCATCTTATGATGTATTTGTGATGAAAAAATTAGTTCCAGTTTAAGAAGCAGACACATTAACTTCATTTTCATTTGATGTAGCAACATTACGCTTTACTTAAAGAAGATCCACGCAATGTTTTGTTCCATCAAATGATGCTCTTGCATTGATTGTGTAACAGAAACTATCTAAAACATATATAGATCACTTGATGAGTACCAATGTAAGAGAATATAGGAATAAGTCATCGTATCAAATAACACAATCAAATCAAGCAAAATTCTTCGGCATTTTCTTTAGTAAGAATTTTAACTTTATGTATGTATTCATTGTCTCCTGAGTAAAAGCAAATCTTTATAAGATTGTAGTTAACGAATTTAAATAATCATATTCTCACTGATCCTGAATAAAGTACAATTAAGTATGTTGATAGTAAAATAATGAATTATCTCTTTTATTTTATCATGAACAATATATTTTTAATTTGATTGTCTTTACGATCTGATTGTACATTAGTCTACTCAATAAAAAGTAAATTACAAAGAAAGATGTGACAAAACTAAATCAGCAGAATCAATTAGCTTATTTCATTCTGTTTGTTTTTTCGTATACTTCTTATGATTAAAGTTTTATTGTATTTTTCACTTTATTTTTTTAAGGAAATATAAATAGTGAAAAAATCTAAATATTTTTTGTTAAGACACTTAAACGAAAAGAGAAAGTTGTATGTTCTAATTTTATAGATTACGAATCGTTAGAAAGTTTCTTGACATCTAACGCACAATAAATATTATAACACGAGCAATAAATAATAAATAATGCGAGTCCAAAACATTTATTCTTTTGCGAAACATTTGCTCGATTATAATTGTTTTGCTACAACACCAGAGAATCCAAATATAAGAGCAAAGCATGTCATAAGTGTGTATATCATCAATGAATAGAATATGAAATTTTTACTGATAAAAGAAATAATGATATTAATAACGACTTAGAATCTCTATTGTATAGTTCAGACATCCAAATAGTTAAATTTAAGTAATGTTGCAAGATATAACCATGTTTCATAAACAGTAATGCAATTATGAAGCAATACATGTACAAACTATACATCCAGTTTATACGAAAATAAAAAATAGGATAAAAGGACACATGTAATGCTATCAATTACGTTGAAGAAATATTTGCATAATAAGTATCGGAGAAATAGTTATGAAAAACATTGAAAAAAATGAATAATCCCCACAAACAGAATATTTGAAATAAAAATATAGCTAGTAAGTTTTTTTGTAACAACTTACACTAAAATATTCATAATATCAAATAATGAGTCATACGATAAACAACGTCATCTTTATTACATATAATATAAATAAGGTAAAATGTAGTGTATTCGGTATTATACATAAATATTCAGTATCTGATTTCCGAAATATTAGACTTTTAACATACAATAACCATGTTTCTTGCCGAAAAATTACATCCTATATGCTAAATGTACAATCATAATTAGGAGAAAGTATGATTGCACACTGTTAGATATGAAGTGTGTAAAAATGTTTTTCCAGGGAGGTAATACTATTATTTCAAATTGCAAACATCACTAATTTTATATTAGATTAAAACGCGTCGAAAATGGGATTTATTGGTATTAAGTAGTAAGAGTTGTCGAGACCTTCTAATGTCGAACTAAAGAAATGTTCAGAAATTTTATGCTGAATTCGGCATAGAAAGCTAAAGCGCCAGTAATTCAAATACACGGTAAAATATTTTCTCTTGATATTTTTACATAGTTTGATAGAACTCGTCAAGCCCTACAAAACTGTGTATATTAAATTGTTTTATGCCATTTTTCTAAGAAAAAAACTACTTGAAAAAATCCTAAAAACTGTTTAAAAAGTTCGGTTGTTTTATATGGAAGAAAGACACTCGATTTTTCAATAAAATTAGCTTTCTCCATTATTTTTCGTGTCAAGATGTATTCATTAAACGCAGCTTTTCACGCTGCATCTGATGAGTATATTTTGAAACGTCTTTGTTAGTAACAATCATGAAGCAAGCTAATTTTATTGAAAAATCGGGTGTCTTTTTTCTATATGAAACAACCGGACTTTTTAACACTTTTTAGAATTTTCGAAGTAGGTTTTTTATAATTTTTTTCTTAAAACAATGGTGCGAAAATATTTAATATATACAATTTTGTAGAGCTTGGCGAGCTCTATCAAACCGTGTAGAAATATCAAAAGTAAATATTTTACCTTGTATTTGAATTCATGACGCTTTAATTTTCTATGTCAAAAACAGCATAAAATAGCTGAACATTTCTTAAGTTCGACATTGAAAGTTTTTGACAACTCTTACTATTTAATACCAATAAATCCCATTTTCGACGCGCTTTAATCTACTATAAAATTAGTTATGTTCACCATTTGAAATAATAGTATTACTCTCCTGGAAAAATATTTTTACACACTCTGCATAGTAACTAATGATCATTCCTTATTTTTATTAAAAATATTTACAAAATTCGACATAACCTCTAACATATTATTAATTGTATCATTTCTCTTTATCGTCTCATCAAACACTACTGTTCCACTAGACGAGAAGTTATTTTCCGAACAACTTCAATAGCTTTTCATTCTATCTTCCATAATATATCAATAGAAAAAAAATGCTATTTTCTTCTTGAATTCAATTGTCAATTCAGGAAAATATTTAAAACGATGACAACATGTTAGTGAAAACAAATTCTATCAAACCAAAATCCAAAAGATAGTTTAGAATATAAATGCGTACTTGTGTTTTTGCTTTTCAGCAACTGATTCTTGAGATTTTATCAAAATTGTTCTCTAGATAAATATGCTCACAATAGTTGCTTTTGTGACATTTACTCTCCAGTAAGTGTTTCTACAAGACCATATCGTTCATAAAAACTTGGGAATGTGATTGGCGATGTAACAATCTCGATCAGGTTTATATTTATTGGGATTGAATGTTAGCTTCCGTACACGTTCCAACATTGTGACATACAAAATATTCAAATAAATTATCGTTTGATAAGCATTCAAATTGTGTGATTGTTTGTATTTTATTGGTTGTTATACTGATAGTAAAAAGGTATATATGCAAATGTGCGTTCATTATTATATGTATATTTATTTTGGTTGAATAGAAAAAGAAGTACATCATCATGATAATAGTCTTTTTTCTAAATTTATTATAAACCAGTGTAGATATTTAATTCGTTACTTGTTTCAGTTTTCTTCACGAGAAACAAAATATCTGAGTTAGTTTTACAATTTAAAATGAATGTCAATTTCAAGAAACGTATTTTTGACAATGTTGATTCACTTTTTAATCCTAATAAAATGATAATATCTTATCAAAGATTTAATTTGCCAACTTTGAAATGATCCAAACTTCTCGTTTTAGGTAATAGTATTACGTATAATGATTAATGAATAATTTTTGACACATGAGACAAACAGTAATAAGCAAAAAAGATTGCGCTTCTCTATGAACATGAGGTAGAACTTGCTTAAACACCATTTGAAGCGTCGATAACTTCAATTGTTACTAGTTAAAATAATCTGAATATAATTCGGCACATATAATATACGTATAAAGAATACAGAATTCTAATGGGATAATTTAAGCTCATCAATAGTTTTTAAATTTTCAATAATATAGATTTAGGTATTACGAGTGACGGTCTCCTGAACATCAAAACTTAAACGCTTTTTAATTCTAAAACCAGTTGAAAAAAACAATTGATCTACGAAACTTGTATGTACGCTAGAAAAAAAGTAAACAAAAGAACTAGTTGTCTTATATGGAAACAATTAAAAATGATCAATATAGCAGCTTTAACATCAAATATATCGACAGTTAAATTTTTGATAATAGACTTTGAGATTTTACAACTCTGTTTTCTTTGTTTCAATCAAGTTTATTTTAACGTCATTACTTAAATGACCACGAATCTTATTTGCCATGCCTCCATGTATTTCGTATTGTTATCTGGACTAAAGTGATTGCATTGATATAGTTACTTCTTTCTTCAATTCAGCAATCACAACTTTCGTTTGACCATTTATTCGTTTATGTGCAATGATAGTCATGGAAAATACACTGATTCTGCCAAGAAAAATTGTTGACCTTCGTCTCTAAATTCGATACGACAAATACAATCGAGTAGAAGTTTTTCACCATTATTGAACTGATTTTGCAGTTTTTTTTAGATAGTCACTTCGATTAGTATCAGAGACGATTTCATTTAAAACATAAAATTTCTCAATACTAGAAGCCAAACGATGATCACTGAGCAGCTCAGACGCTTTCTTCGCTCCCTCGCCGTCTATAGGAAAATTGATTTTCATAATATCAATTGGTAATGATTGTGAATTAAACCAGTTTGAACGGTTACTTATGAGATAAATAATGCCTATAAAGATTGAATATCAGAGATAACAAGCACCATTGTATATTGACCATACTTCTATCTGAAAAAAATGAAATGCAGTAATAGCTACGTTGAAAAGCAGCGTGTTGTCTTTGTTTCTTCTACATTAATCAACAATTTATTACTTTTATTGACTCCAAAGAAAAAGATAAAAGAAAGGAAGAAAAAAGAACAATTAAAAACAACATGACTTCATTATTCATGTAGGTGTGGGTGTTCATATTTTTCTCTTTCTGATACCTACGCCCACACCCACCCTGATTGGTCTGCAATTTCTCTATTAAACGGTTTTAAGACTAAACCTTCTATATTGACTGATTTAGAATTAACTATAACCCCTGTACTTGTTCAAATGACATGAAATCGTATTTATGGAAAAATTCAATTGATTTAACCATATTATTTCAAATATGTGATAGAAAAGAAGAAGCCTGTACTGAACTTTTAGGTAAACGACGATGTAAAGGTAGATCAAAAAAAATTAAATCTGCTTTACATTTTTAAATCTACTATTCCTCAATGTAATTATATTCGTTGTAATTTATTATATATATATATATATATTATCTAACTTATTTTGTGTATCAAAATACACTATTTTCTTTTTTTTTCATAAATAAATGAGTTCGTCCTCAATTGTCTCTTTTTTTTGCTGCTCAAAACATATTCTTTCCATCAAAAGATGTCACCAATTAACGGCAACTACAAATGATTGATTTACTCGAGTCTCTTTGATCTCTTATTTTGATGTCGGCTTATCTGATTAGTTGTTGCTGTTGTTTTTTTCTTCTTTTCATCTTGATTTGTCTTCATTAATATTATATTTTTGTGAAAAACCTAACATTATGTTTTCTATTTTATATAATATTTAGATAAAGTCCAATTGAGAATATCACAAATAAGATGGTGAAAATTTTATTTGTAATTATATAAAATATTCTTTACTTTCTTTTCTTTTTTCTTCTTCCTATTAAAACAATTTCCTCGTTGAATAATTGATTAGAGAAAAGATGCGTATAAAAATCATTGTTCCGGTACAAATTATATTTATTCAGCCGAATAGACTGATATTCAATGTATTGTAGTTACCAATGTATACGAACGCATATATTAAAATAGATACTATTTATAAAACATACATTGTTTACATTTATTTTGTAGATAAAGTATTATCAGATTCATATAGGAATTTATAATTGGATGATTCGAATCATTAAACACTGTAAGTTAATAACTCTTCTAGCTTATATTTGGTAATTAATCTTATGATTTGTAATAAAATATGAAAATGCTTCCTATAGATAAAAAATGGCAACGCTTACTGCTTATCTTACATATATATCTTTTCTTTTCTGTACAAATATATGGTCAAAGACTTGAAATTAAACGAAATGTAGATGATGTCAATAGTGATCAGGTTCAATCGCTCTATGTTCCATTGAAGAAAGTGTTTGTCGAAGCAACAATTCATTCGTTTGCTGCTGATGTGAAAATTATTCAAGTGTTTCGTAATGATGAAAAAACACCAATTGAAGCTGTTTATTGTTTTCCTATTGAAGAACAAGCAGCAATCTATTCATTCGTTGCACGTATTAATGATCGAGAAGTTGTTGCTCAACTTAAAGAGAAAAAACAAGCACGAAATGAATATGTTGAAGCTCTACGAGAAAATCATGGCGCTTATTTATTGGAACAAGACGAAAAATCTCAAGATAATTTCATCATTAATGTCGGTGCATTACCACCATTAACCGAATGTACAATCATCATTGCATATGTCACTGAATTAGATCTAGTAGATGGACTTATTATTCGTTTCGTTATTCCTACTACTATAGCACCTCGATATGATTCTAAACAGGGTGGAATTTCATCACCTGCAAGTACTACTTCCAAATATGTTCAAAAAAGTCCATATACTATTAACTTTTATTGTTATATCAAGAAAATAGTCGGAGAGACTGGACAGTTAATTCGTACAGTAAGCTCATCATCTCATTCAATCGAAGTTGATTTTGATCAACAAGACGCTTATGTAGTAAAGTTTGCTCAAGAAAATACTCATTTAGATCGAGATATTCTTATTAATATTGAACTAGCTGAAAAACAAGCTAATACCATTTTGACTATTGAATCAAATGCTGTCATGACTACCTTTATTCCTACTGAAGAAGATTGTCGACTAGCACGAAATAATGAACAGACGAATGAGTTTATCTTTGTTGTCGATTGTAGTGGATCAATGACATCAGAGAACAAGATAGGTTTGACTCGAGATGCTGTTATGTTATTTTTGAAAAGTCTTCCTGCTGATTCTCAATTCAACATCATTCGATTTGGTTCCAATTACATGAGTTTATTTTCTGAGATTACTGCCGTCTACAATGAAGCAAATCTTCAACAAGCCGAACGAATGGTTAGTAACATGCAAGCTGATTTGGGTGGAACCGAATTAGTAAGTTGCATCATTTGATTTCATCCAATCTCACTATTGCTTTTTCAGTTAGCACCATTACAATGGTTGAAAGAACATTCTCCAGTAAAAGGCCGTTCTCGTCAAATCTTTCTTCTTACTGATGGAGAAATTTCTGACGTCTCTGCAGTACTTGATTTATGTCGATCGATGGTTTCATCTACTCGTATTTTCTCATTTGGCTTAGGCATGTCACCGAGTCGAGCACTTGTTAAAGGTCTTGCTCGAACGACGAATGGTCGATTTGTTTTCATTCCACCAAATAGTAGAGTTGATACATATGTCAAGGAACAATTGCACCGAGCTCTACAACCAAGTATCACTAATGTTCAAGTGAAATGGAATTTTGGTGAGATTGATGTACATACAGCACCTACACAATTGCCTCCTGTCTATGCTAATGATCGTTTGATTATATATGGTCTCATAGATAACATCAGTATTTTACCGTCAGATATTAATCTTTCTGTAGAACTCTATACGAAAGAAGATCATCATCGATTAGGTAAGGCAAGAATTGAACGAATAACCAGTATAGATAACACAGGATCGATTGCACGTCTTGCCGCTAAAGCTCTTATTCTCGAGCTACAACATGCTAAGAACGCATCAAAAGGTTCGTTACAATCACGTTTTCAAGACGAAACAGATTTAACAGAGAAGACGACAGAAATAGAAGAAATAACGAAGAAACGCATTATTGAATTGTCCTTAAATTACAGCATTTTGACACCATATACAGCATTTGTGGGTATAGAGAAGCGAATAAATGGGAGTAATATTAATATGGCTCTTCGTGAAGTACCAATTCAAATATCAGCCGATGATCAACATTTGATATCGCCGCAATTTTTACATTACCTTAACAGTGGTCAACATCGGACAATTTCATATTTGACTATTCTTGCTTGTTTCTTCTTTTTTCTTGTGTTCTTTTTCACCGTATAATAATAGAGATTATTACCCTATCACTTATCAATAATCCTAGCTTTCCACACCATCCCCTTTTCCTCTATTTTTCAAAAGTTCTCTTTTTATTTTTTTCGAAAAAAAATAAATGTTAAAGGCAACTAGATGATAATGTTAACTTATTTGAGTGAATCAATACACTTTCAACCAATAAAGTTAATAACAAAGTTAAAAATTATCTGGTATTTGATCGGACTAACTAAAATCAACATTTATTTCAGTTGAAATTTAGAAATACTAATATAAATTGTGATAGACTTATATGTCACCAGAGGAAAAAAATTTCTCAATTGTCCGTTCGCATACAGCAATAAGTTCTGTATCTGTGGTGAGGGTGTGGGTGTGGATGTAGAGGCGGGACGATACTATCCTCACACTCAGACGCACACCCACCCACACCCTCGTATAATTATCCACACCTCCACCCATCTTAAAAGTCATCCTAATGTTTGGCACTTCATTTCAATTTTGAAAAAAAGGCAGTCTATTTCAGGCAATAAATTCTTCATATTAAAAGTGACAAAAGTAAAACAATGTCGAAAAAAGTCTGTTAGATGCAGAGTAGACTTAAAACGCTTTCAGTTCGATTCGATAATCCTGAAATTGATATTCAAGAATTCTTTCTTTGTTACAAAAAAGATGCACAAAATAAAAAATAATCTCATACTTTTATATTATTTTTCTATTTGTTCTGTGCATGTAACTTCAAATATAACAATTTCTTTTACTATTCTTGTTGTTCGAATATTCAACAACAATAAAAAAGTCGATGTCTTTTCTCAGTTTACAAATATAAAAAAGTAGGGTGTGGGTGTGCTTGTGCGGTGTGGGTGTCAGTGTAAAAAGAAAAGAAACATCGACATCCACACCTCACACCCATACACCCACACCTCACACCCATACACCCACACCCACACCCACACACCCACAACCACGCCCGCACCCACACCCACCCACACCCACAGCCCACACCCACCCACACCCCACACCCGCACCTACACCCACACCCACACTCACCCACACCCACACCCACACCCTTTTTTCATATACATTCGGTGGCAAAATCAGATAAAAGCATGAAAAATGTATTCGTATTTAGCAATTTTTATTATTATGGTTCAGTTTAAAAAGCCAAAATAGATAGCATATTCGGAGTCAGCGTCAAAAACTGCATAGAATCACATATGTTTTAGTAAAAACTTTTACCAATAAAAAATACACCTGTGATTCCCTCAGGTTTATTTTTGTAAAGTTTCTTCTGCCCTGCTTTTCCAGGCTACAATTTTCTTGAAACATATGATTCTATGCAGTTTTTGACGTTGATTCCAACTTTGTTATCTATTTCACTTTTTAACTGAATCGTGAGAATAAATACCGTTAGATACGAGCACACTTTTCATACTTTTATCTGATTTTGCTACCGAATGATGAAAAAACTCAATTTTATCAATAATAACACATAATTTAGATAAACTAAATAGATTTACAAAAATTCGATGTAGTTACAGTTTGACTGAAAACATTTATTGTTTGTGAATGAGTTGATAAATTCAATAAGTAATACGATGATTCTATTAATGAATCATTCTATAAGACACAAATGATTTTGAGTACAATTTATTTAGTTATTCTTTATTGATGTTTGCTGTGACTGATGTATGAAAAAAGTTCCTTGTTTAGCCAAATTTTCATCCGATGATGTATATCGAAATCCTACTTCTTTTGAATTGGTTCGACGTAAAAGAAGGTGTATTTGGTTAGTCATTTTGAGTTTCATCTGAATTGATAAAAAAAAACATTTATTTAAAAAAATGAAGAGAAAGATTTTTGCAAGGGTTGTCAAAAATGCTTTAGCAGCAAATTAATGAAAATAAATTAAATAAATATTATTAAATATTTGAATTCTATTCAATTGTTCCATTTAAATGTAGAACTCACGTACGTAGACATTCCATTCGTACATACTCAAAAGATAAATCACATATTGTCGATCTTTCTAATTAATTAGTGACTATAAATCAATGAAATAAGAATAAAATTTAAGATTTGAAAACAAAATTTATCGGAAAATAATCAATTTTATCATCATTCGATTGAGCTATTGTAAGACTAGTTAAAACTAAACAGAAAAATGGTCTCGTTATATATGTGGATGTAGTGCGGGTGACAAGAAGATCCAAACCTACACGCATATTACACCCGCCCGTACTCGTACTCATACTTCGCAATGATAATAAGTCAAGTTTTTTCTAACTGCTACATACACAAACCTTGATGTATATTTTATAACATGACGTGAGCAAATATTGACGCATTGCGATTCTCTTTTTTGAGAATGAATAAGTGAAACATGTTGTAATTACGCTTGAAAACATTCTCCGTGTCTAGATACGATGTTGCCTTGATTTTGTACGGCCTTATTCAGATTCATTTTGATGTTTTCGACGTAAGGGCCAATAGAAATATCGCTGTTTTGCGTGTCTCAGGACTTTGAAATTTTTTTTAGAATCAAGTAAAGTATGATTTTTGAATTTGTTGTATGTGTCGAATTCGAAGCTTTTGACATCAAAACTTCTGAAATCTCTTAGCCACCGAGTATATTATATCTTGAATGGATAGCATTGTTATTCTCACATGATAATCTCAGCTCAATCTAATCAGCCATAAAAGTTCAGATTGAAAATATCTATGGGTATGAAATAAGAGCAAGCTGAAAAATATACAAATCAATAATTTTTCCTACTCAAAATTTTCATAGTTTTCGATGTTTGATCTTCAAGATATGAGAAAAATGAATGTCAAAAGGAGAACTGTCAATTTTCAACGATTGTGAATTTTTGTTTTTCGATTTCTACTGGTTTTTGTCGATCTACTTTACTGTATGAGTCACTATGGCCACTCTCTAAAAGTCTGCTTCCATAGACAGTCTTGTAAATTCTATTCTATTGCATTTTTCAAAGAAACAGAGGTCGAATTTCTAGTAGATTTCTTGATTTGTGCAAAAGTTATATCAATTTCTAAGGAAATGACAACGTCAATGATTTCAAGACTATCAACAGCGTATCTGATTGAAATTTTTGTCAACTTGATATATGAAGAAAATATATTGTTATTTATCAAGTGTAAGATAGTTTTCATTAATGTAAATATTAGTTGATGAATCTGAAAAACAACTCTGACACAGTTGCTTCTTGTTCCTTTTGAAAACATTATTGAATGTAATTTTTTTTTCTCTACTTCGTGTTCTTTCTTCATTCTTTTTTACGTCTTTTCCTCTTTCTTTAACTTACGTTGTTTCTTTTTGCTCCTTCTTCTCTCTTTCTACCACAAAGGTAACGATGAAAGACAAACCTTAATGACAATACGTAAGGTAGAAAAAAAAATTACTGAATGATCAAAGGAAAATAAGTGTATATGTAGTACTGATGCGAACAACCTAAAGCAGTTCGTTTTTCGATTTTGCTCCTTGATAGCATAGCTAGAAAGATATTCTGACAAGATTTAAGTTTCTCAAAAGAATCTCTATCTAGACTGAATAGTCCGAAATAACGTCAAACATTTTTCGCTGAGGAACTCTTGAAAACAAGACTTCAAAAGTCACTTGTAATGGTATGATATGAAAACTTTTATGAACATAATTTTGTTCTATACCATAATTTATATTGAACTAAATGAGATATCTCCACAAGCTTTCTTTCCGAACTCCATTGAACTAATGAAAGGCTCCAGAAATATGTTTGTCTGGTTTTATTTTTGTTTCAAAGTGTCAACTATCGGCAGAGCAGCTTCAACTCACTAGTTCATATCTAATAAGATATTGAACTGTTGAAACAGATTAGTTCTTAGAACTGAGTTGTTCGAAAAATTTTGTTTAGTTTTGAAAACGGCGTTTCTATTTAGAGAACAATGGTTTTGGTATCTAGAAGAACATTTTCCCAACAGCTCAGTTTCAGGAATCGAACTGTTCGAACAGATGAGTTCAGATCAGAGAAAGTTTTCAATAGTTCGAAACTGAATATGAACCTGTTGAGTCTTAATGTCAACAATTTTGCTCTATTTCATGCTTTGGAGCTATTTATTAATTGGATGCAGTTCGTTGAACGAAAGCTGTAAAGCATCAGAATCGAATTCATACAACTGATTTCCGCGAGATTCTAATGTAGAAAATTTTTGAAGAGACTCTTCGATCAATCTTAATAGTGATTCTTCCAAAAAGTATCAAACACTATATCGAGGGTGTCATTTTACAAAATTTATTACCACTTTTCTGAACTATCATGTATTGATTGATGAACCTGAGGTAAAATTTGCAGCTTTTTTATTTTTGTGTCAAACTCGTGACTTTATATGTTGAAGTCTTGACTATGTTGTGACGATGCAGATGTCTAGAACAAAACTTTTTTCCTAGAGAAAAAGAACGACATCAGAATAGTCGATGATAGAGTAGCAACAGGCCGTGTTCGTCATCGAGAGGAAAAGAAAATAGCGTGGCTCAGATTGTCGACATCTTGTCTTTCTTCGTCAACATAGTCTTGTCACGTTGACTGGTTGGTATGAGGAGTGTCGCGGCACAAAATAACTTTAGTAGTGTGAATCAGATATTTGTTTCTTAATGCTTCGAAGAAAACAGAAAGCGATACGAATGAAGGTTTTTTTCTCTTTTCTTCTAAACAAGAAGAAATATATTAAAACGACGATTGTTGTTATTTTAGAATGCAGTGTTTATGAAGAGCGTCTTCATTCGAGCCAAAGATTCTTTCTTCTATAAGTTTACATCGTTACGACAAAAATAAAACTCTAACGTGCACAACCATGATTAGACGTGTCACTTTCATGCTTCGTTTCTATGAAGAGAGAATACACAACAGGCTCACATAAAAAGGTAGGAAAAGATGTATAAATACCTCGATGTATGTATGAAAAATTCTAGAAAACGCAGTTTAGGATATATTTTCGATCCTTTAGAATGGAACGTCCCAGAACGAGAACTCTGACACAAAGAGACTTAACTACGAACGTTTCGATCATGTTCATCAATTATTACACATTTTCTTAAGAGGAATATTGATAAATTTTATAAAATGGTACCGTTGTTACAGTGTTTGATACACCTTTGAACCTTTTTATTTTTGAAAGCGCAATTTGATGTTGTTCTACTGAAGGTAGATGACAGAGACGGAACACATTTGTCAACAAAACTACGGCCCTCTTTGAAAATTCGTTTTCTCAGCTATGACAAAAATTAATGGAATTGTGCTCGTTTAACAAACATTGAGCACTTTGTTTCGATTATTTAATTACTTTTTTTCTACTGACCCTTGTTGCTACTATTCTTTCTTACATGATTACATTGCATAGTACGCAGAAGAGAACGAACAAATAGAACGATACAATAATATATGATTATGCATTCAAGTAAAGAAATTCGGTTATTTCGATGACATTTGAATCGATATGACAATTTCCTCTGAGTCTGTTATTATTAAAAATAGCTCATATCACAAGGAAGGAAATGGCGTATTTTTGGACTTGAAGTTACTTTTATCTACTTCAAGTGTACTTAATTCGTAGTTTAAACTACTTCGAGTGACTTGAGCCTTCTATTGTATAGATACAAACGTTAATGTACAACGTTATTATAATGATTTTCTTTTTGTTTTTGCCAACTAATAATATAGCATTGAAAGACTCGATGACGTAAAAGAAACAAAGCAACGCGAAGTATAGTATTACAAAGTATTTTAAAATAACTTGTTGAGAAAAATTTTGATAAAAAATAAAAACATAGTAGATCAAACACACGAGTTAAAAAGAGTTAATAGAAACTACAAATGTTCATATAAGACTTTTTTTTAACGAATATTCAGTGAAAAACTGTTAGCACAATACCTCCAGGATTAAAATGTGAAACACGATGTAGCTACTCTTGCTAATCACAAAGAAATTCCTTTTTTTTTTCTATATATATTTTGGGACATATTTCTTCATCTTTCTTTTACTTAATCCTCCAGAAAAGTAGTAAGAAAGTTATTATTACATTATAGCAAGTAGTTATTGATTTAAATAGTTTGTCTTTGATCCTCGCAAAGAAATAAATTGAATTGATATATCACTTTCTATTCCGTAATAATGGTTTGATTTAGGTACTTAGATCAAATGATTGAGGAAAATAGGCTGAATTCGAAAACAAAGAATGGTGGACAAGCTAATTTAGGATGGTTTCGAGATATTCCATTATCTTAGAAAAAGTAGTCACGTTCTATGTATCATTCATGCCAATGAGAGTACCAGAGAGAGAAGGCGTAGTTTTTATTAGTTGATATCGTACATCGTCTATTCTTTTACAGTTATTGTTAAATAACGCATCTCTATCACCATTACTCATATCGAGAAGACAACTATCTTTGTTTGTAGTGTTTTTTTTATTAATCAAGGTTACCAACGAGGATATTATGTCGTTGATGACTAATTCTTATCCAAACAAACTACGCACAAAATATTGACTCATTAACTGGTCACATGAAAGCAATGAGTAACAACTAATAAGATACAACAAGATTCAGAATCGTATGTTCTTCCCGAAAATGAGCGTAAAAATTTTTTATGTGATTTTTCTCTTCAGTCATGAATCAATCGTTGAAAAACCTAAGAAAATTAGTTAGAATAAAAACTTTCACTTACATTTTCTTTTGTATCTTCATTATTTTCATCCAAAACTAAAAGATCGAACTTTTATTAATTCATCAGCTTATGTAATGAAACGTAACTTAGAAAATATATGGTTCCACATTCTTTTAGTCTTCTCATGATGCATTTACATATTCGTTTTGTAATTTGTTGCTTTCTTCTTAAAAAAATAATTCTTTTGACCCAAATGCCTTTTACGGCGAAAAGGAGCTCCTGCAAAACTATCCATGTTGGTAATTTTTAGCACGTTCATAATGAGCTTATGAAAGTTAGTGAGAGAAGTTTTTCTTCATTTTTCAAATCAATTTTTAACTATTTCAACAAATTCATCATTTCCTTTTAGCAACAAATCATTTCGGTCCCCATGCTTGGAATTTAGCATTAAAAATTTATTCAAAAAAAAGAAACGATTCTCTATTCAGATGAAATACTTCCAAGAAAGCCAAAAATTAACAAACACGTTGTCTGGAAACATAGGCACATGTGTTCGATTTAAAGTAATTATTTGAAAGGTCTTTCGAAGTTTTCATAATATTCTCGAGCTATAATCGATATAAATTTTATGAGTTCCAATTATGCGAGAGTAAGAAAATTTTGATTTCTACCAGTGCTTTTAAATGTCATTTGTTATTCTTGAAGAAACAAGCAAGTGAGCAAATATTTTGTTCTAAAATTCTTTTGACAGGAATTATGCAGAGAAATAAAATTATAACAAAACTTATACAAGTTTAGAATTGTTGACTATGTTGTTACCACATGATCTACTAAGACTAGAAATATAAAAGATGAATTGTTTTTTTTCTTGTTCACTGTTTTCTTTGTTTTGTGACTGAAATTTATTCTATCAACTTTTCTTTAGATAGATTTTCAAACGAAAATGGGCTCTAGTAATAGTGTCCATGTTACCCTTAATCTTGATCGAACGAATCCATTCTTTTATGCGGGTGAATTAGTATCAGGAACAGCCAATGTTAATATCAAAGAAGGACAAGTCAAAGTCGACGAAATATTTATTGTATTGAAAGGCGAAACTGGTTATACAACAACTCGTACTGTTCACGAATCAAACGGTTCAACACATACAGTAACTGATTATCATACAATATCTTTTTTTTTAGAAAAAAAAATCTTGGAAAGTCCAGGATTAAGAGAAAAAGAATTAGTTTATCATTGTGGACAGCATTCATGGCAATTTGAAATTCCATTGCCACCTCAACTTCCACCTACAATCAATGAACCGCGCAAATATCCACATGTTCGATATTCTTTAAAATTTGTTATCGATAAACCTTGGTACAAACGAAACACCAATGAAATTCTCTGGTTGACAGTGTTTCCATATGTCAATCTATTGAATAATCCTCAGTTTTTAACGTCATCTATATTTGGTAATCATAATCGAAAACATGTTACTCTGAAAGGCAATATAAACAAATTAGGTTATGTACTCGGTGAGATGATTACAGGAACTTTAGAAATTGAAAATCCGGAAAAAACCTTATTGAAACAAATTTATTTAACTTTGATTCAGCACTGTCGAATTGAGAGTAATACGAAAAAAGAAAAAATCGTTGAAACAATTCTGCCCACAATTGTTAACACAAAAGAGGAGCACATCATGCAAAAATTTTCATTAGTTATTCCACTTACACATATAGCTCCATCATATGCATTTAGTGGCGGTTTTCATCATACGACTAACGTACATATTAATTACTTTCTAGAATTTGATGTTAAAGCTGAAGGCATGTTTACAAATTTCGATGTCAGTATACCCATTACAATAGGAACTGAATCCAATACAAAACCAAATGAACATCAGCTAAATGACACAACCAATTTGTGGCCTAATTCTCTTTCTTACTATCCGGAAACAATTATGCATGCCGAATATCCTCCGCCAAGTTATTATTCTATATCAAATTAAACTAAGTGGTCTCTAATACATATAACAGTAACTAATGTTCTCATCTCTACTATGGTGTAATTAATCAACATATTAAATAATAAAAACTTTTTTCCGATCTTGTTTATTTATTTTTCTCGTTTGAGAGTGTGGGTGAGGATGAAATATGTGAATGTGACATGCTAGTATATGGTGGAATGGTGTGAGGTTGGATGTATGTATGTGAAGATGTGTGTGTGAGGAAATCAAACGATAAGGGTGATGATGGAACTAGGGTGTGGGTGTGGGTGTGGGTGGTGTGGGATGCGACCCTGTCAGGTGAAAAATGAAAAATTGGTCATTAAAATGCATTAATCTTCGTATCTATACCATTTCGACCATTAAAACGCTCACTTTCAGGCGAATAATGTAAAAATGCTCATTAAAACGCATTATGATTTATGAATAAATCATTTTGACCATTTATTAAGTATAGTTTCTATTTTTTTAAATACTAAGGTGATTTAAAACTATATTGAGTTTTAGAAACTTATTAGATGACGTTAGCAATCGATTATAAAGGTATATTTTATTTCATAATAGAATAAGTTAACAGCATTCTTTCAAGTTAGGATATCGACAGAAGACAAAAGTTTTTGATACTGGTTGATTATCGTTGAATACTGGCCGAAAGGCGAGCTTTTGTAGTATTTGAGATGGTTTAATAACGGTTGTAGAACCATCTACAACGACACCCTTTAAAATATTATTACATATAAAATCTCTTCCTTCAATGTTGGCGGTATCGGCTGCTGAAATAAGTTTCACCTTATTTAAAAATAGAGAAATCTCATTTTTATCGATGGAATGAACTATGCACAATATGAAACCAAGTGAAGAAGAATTGTTTTTTGATTTATACAAGACACAAGCATCATTAGAATGTCGTATTGTTGTAAAATCATCAGCGCTAAAACGTAAATCATTAATAAATAATGTTTTGTAAAAGAAAATGTTGGCTTGAGATAGATTGGGCCATTGACAAAAGAAATTAGATGGTGGTGATGTGAGTTTTTTATGTAATTTAATATTTGCTAGATCATCTTTATAATTAGAAGTAATTTGACGTGGTGAAGAGCAAATTCGAGAAACATATTCTTTTCCTTTGGTTGGAAATGACGAGGAGGAGATACAAATTGATGATTGACGATATAAGTCAATGTTTTTAATTAATTCAGTTGTTGGTGCTGATCCACCATGTATGGTTCTAGAGAATGATGCTACTCAAATAATAAAAGTTCTATATGTGAAAAAGGAATCTTAAAAACAAACCCATCGTAGATTCGAATGAAAATGTTGAATAATTGAACATCGGTCCATAATCTCGAATACATGAATAAAAATGGCGAATTGAATGGATTACGGGTACAACATGCCTATCCTGCATTGAAAAACTTATCGAAAAAAATAAAACAAAAGATATTGCTCACCGTATAAAGAAATGCAAATTTTTTATCAAAATATGACGATAAGTATTCGACATCTTTATGAGTATCGCGAGAGAGGTATTGCGCCTCAACTATATGTGCAATAAAAGCTAACGCTTTTAGATGAGCATAACGTTCTTGATCAAGAAAATCTTCAAATACTCTACATGAAAAGTAAAAGTAAAATATGTTTAAATATATGTGAAACTCACGAATAACCAAACAACAAAATAATTCTAAATTCATTTCCTTTGAATTTTCTAAACAGACGAATATCTCTTGGTTGTCGGTACGTTGTTGACGGATATGATATTGAATTGATAATTTCAGCAATATGATCTATTTTATTATATACAGTCATAGCATCTGATATACCAGCCGTGCCAGATGGTTTTGACAAAAGAAGTTTCAACATCTTTGCCTATATAAAATACCGCGGTAATTTTTAAAAAGTTTTAAAAAATGAGACTACCGTTGCTCCTAAATATAAATTATGAAGAGTGTCGCAAAGAAACGAACTGTAAATATTAAAATATTTGAAATGTCGAAGCAGACAGGGCCCTCTGACACCTTGCAAATAATCAATAGCTGCTGCTTTGGAGAGAGTTTTAGTTGAGTCAGGCAATTTGTAGCCCTAAATATATCTTTCAAAAATAATTACGTATAAAAACTAACTTACATTCTCAATAATTGTAATTGAATTATCATAGGTTTTTTTCGATCGTATTATTACTTTCTTACTTGGATCAAAAGCAAATGAACGAATTGTAGTATTTCTAACGTCTACCGATTTACCTGTAGTTAGTAAAAATAAAATCAAAAGAATGAATCAGATGATAAAAGAAAGTCTTGTCTGATTACATAAAAAATTTACAAAGGGAATTTAATATTTAGCTGTTCTCTTTTATATAAAAGATTTGATAGATAAGTACTTTTAATCTTTAACAAATAAGAGATATCTCGCCCAACTTTTCGTATAACATTACCTTTAATAGTACAATATGTACATCCGAAAAATCCAGTACATTCTATATGATTAAGTAACAACGATGTTGCAGGTTTGTCACAAACACAACCAAGTAAGTATATCTTGACAATCTGTTCTGAATTATTTGATTCAACCGACGGAAACAGTATGGAAATTCCATTTTCTAAATGGTGAAGTTCATTCACTAGATCCTGCATAATAGACGACATTTCCTCTTTTTTCGGTTTCGTGCTTCCTGTAGAAATCATTCCAAGAATCGTATTTTCTGGAAGAAACCGTACTGCTCGAGGTAATTCATTTACTACAAAGCTCGTTAACCATATTGATTTTGAAATTGTTTTAATTAAACCACCATCAGAGTTCATCAACAAGGTTACAAATGGTGTTTTTTCTTTCTTGAGTAACTTTTTATAAACTTGTCCATTAGTTATATCCGAAATAGAATCATGATTGAGTCTTGGAAAAACAATTTGATTTTTTTCAAGAATCGAACGCACTTGTGGCTCAAGAGCAAGAGTATAGTTAATAGTTGGTGAACGAATGAAAGAGTATTGTGATGCGCAACCATGTGTATGTGTACATCGTTTTAAATTCGAAGATCTTTGATAACAAGAGGGACATACGATGCTTTGTGTGGGAAAAGTTGTTGATTGATAAGCACAAAGAACTTGAGACTCAACACTATCAAAACTAAGTGGAGCATTCGGCACTTGCAATAGTTGTAAAAGTTGACAAATATGTGTCATACAGGACTTGGTTAAGGAATGCCGACATCGCAATTCAATCAGTAATACAGATATTTCTTTTGAACTGAAAGGTGTTGAAGGATTGTCAAAATCAGAATCGATAGAAAAGTTTGTGAAAACATTTTCTGAACTTTCTATGTTGATTGAATTGAATATTTCAGCATCAATAGAACATAGAGAATCATTATCATCGTTGTCACAATAATCTGATAATGACGATAAAGATGATGATGAAGAGATACAAGACTTCTTGTCGGTTGAAACAGTTGGTGGTAATGGTGATGTTGATAAAAGTAATGAAGAAGATGCAGATGGAGTACTAGTTATAGTAGATAATGATGATGATGTCGGTACCGAAACATGTGCACCGGCATAACTAATATTCGAAAGTCGTTCTAATGTTATATCAATTTAATCCAAAAGAACTCACTTAAAAACATCAATTACAGCATGTAAAGCTGCTTGTCGACTATATGCATGTGATATTCGTTGATTTAAGCGTGATAATCTTTTTCTTGTCGAAGACATTTTATTATGTTTCGGCTGTCAGTCGTAGTAGATTAATATCCAATGTATCAGATGAGCAAAGAGATTTGTATAAACTTCAATAAATTAACACGTATCAAGTTTTATTTGAAAATAATATTTAGTTTATGTGCAAGCGAAAAGAAAACCGATAAATATTCTCAACGAGACCTGGACTAACAGTTTGATACATGAGTCAGAAAGAGAAGTACGTACTTATTGACTTAGAATGATCAAAAGGAATTAAGACATGAAAAAATAACCGCTTTAATTAAAATGGTAAATGTACCTATTGACATTTAAAATGTGCTACCATCTGTCTATAATTAATGCACATCTCATAACAGTTTTTATGTAAGAAAAAGTCTGTATAAATAAACAACAACTATTTATTTTTCATAATACATTTATTTATTTCGTTATTAATGGTTTTTGTTCTTCAAATCAGTTTCATTAACACACATACGTGCAAAAAAATATAATAGTATCACACAACATTATATATTTACAATATGAAATAAATATATACAAAAACAACCGAGTTATTGGATCATGACTTACATAACAAAAAATCAACATCACAAATAGTAAAAAAAATCAAAGCAAATTTTTGACAAAAAGAGAACTGAAGAAAAGTTTGACAAAGAAAATATAAACACATACATATTTGATTAACCAGATAAAGTACACTATTTGTGAAGTGAAGTTGTACTGGATAGTATTGTTTCTAAAAAACAATCAAATAGAACAATGAACTGAAAAAAATGAATCAAAGGTACCTTTCAAATCGTAATGATTTCGACATATTAGTCCATCATACCGTTCTCATGATTTGGGTCGACTTGTTGGACGGCTGCTGCTGCAACTATTCGACTTTGTTCCATCTTGATCTTGTGTCGAGCACATCGAATTGAATTTCCTACAGCTTCTTTTAACATTGCCATTGAATAACCAGAACCGGGTGAGCAACGTCGAGCAAATACTATAACGGAAAAATTCACAAGTTATTTCATAAAAATTTAAAATGATATAAATTTTAACAAGGGTCCAATCAAAGATTGAATATAAAAAGCTTACCTAGAATATTTTCTAGTAATGTAGGATGGTTAACATTTAAATTAGTAACATTAATTAAAGATTGTTTGTTTTGATTAGTAGGAAAAAGAGCGTTAAATATTCGTAGTGCAGTTTTTTGTGGTTCAGCGTTGGAAAACGATAAAAGAGTTGTTTCAGGTAATCCAATGTCATTAGCTAATTGATTTGATGAACGATTATCTTCATCATGTTCACTGGATCTAATTGAATCAAGTAATTGTTCGAGAAAAGCTCGTCCATCAACATTAGGCCGCGCTACAAAAAAAAAAGAAAAGAAAAGAAATGATGCTACGAAAAAACAACAGACTTACGAAATGAGCTGTTCTGAAGTCTTTGCATGCGACGTACCAAAATTTGATAATCAGCTTTCCATCTTTCATTCAAATTCAATGCACGTTGTAGTTCACGTTTTAATGTTCGATATTCAACAAATGTTTCTAATATAGCATTATTATTTGTTGCATAATTGGTGCTAGGTGAAGCTTGACTACCATTTGGTACTTGAGTTAATGGTGATGAATCTGTATTGGTACATGGATTGGTAGATGTATTAATATTTCGTGAAGGTGTATTCGACATTTTTAATTGATTGTCAACGGTGTTTGTTGATAATGGACCACGTGTTCTGTTTTTGATTTGACGCGATACGAGAGACTTAGCACTTGCACACATATTAGATCTAAATTACAAACATAGGAAATACATTTATGCATTAATGTAAAAGTGTCAAGCTGTTTATTAAACTCTTCTAGTCATCGATTTGAATTTTTGGACCTTTATGTATTCAATATTTCTTATAGAGCAAAATTCTCATTCTTTAGGGAACTCTTCTGAAACCCAATAATAGACTTACTGCGAGTGATGTTGAGATCGAACTAATGGTGTTGAAGCATAATCTGGACGAGTTTTAGATGCAAATGCATTAGACATGAACATTGCTTGAAATTCATCAGTATCATCATCATCGTCCTCGATATGAAAGTTAGCTGTTGATGATGTTTTAACTTGAATACCTGTATTACTTGTATTGGAACAATAAGAACCAGAAGTTGATAATTCTGGATCAGTAGGATTAAAATCATTAGAATCAACGCTCATTGATTTCGGATCTTTTGATGTATCTACAAATATGTCTCGTTGGATTAATACTTTATAGAAAAGACAAGGAGTGATAACTCACCTTCCATAATACTATCTAATTGATTTTCTGTATTTTCATTAGCAACACATTTTTTACCTTGTTTTTTCTTCGATTGTAATTGTTTTTTTTCTTGTGTAGCTATCTGAGACTTGTTTTTGTTATGAGGTTCCATAGTACCAATAACTCGTTTAGTAAGTCGATGTTGTTTCATTGTTATTGAAGAACCTTTTCCGGAATTATTTTTTCGTTTAGGAGCCATTATGGTATTATTTAAAGTTAAAGATGAAAAGATAAAAAGAATAAGAAAAATATATGTGCGTTAAGTGATGGTGATCAGAAACTGAATGGCTTGTTTACATGAAAACATCGATATATATATATACAGGGAAGAAAACAAAGGATGATGATATGTATTAACAGATATATCTGATTACATGAAAGAAAAAAGAATCCAGGGAGAGAGAAAGAAAGCGACTGCGCGTACATTTTAGACTAATATTCATTTATCTAGGCAAGACAATCTATAATAATCGTATGCATAGGATATACATTTCGTTCGCACAATGAAATGTCCTTGTACCGTTCGATCAAAGGTCAATTTGAATAAATCGCATATTCGATTTTTCTTCGACTGTTAATTCTCCTCGTTTGATGATTTCAGTTACTGGATTGACTATCGTATTAGATATATGACGCTTAATAATAGATACTGAAGCGTTTTATTTCCACGAATTTTTCTCCAGATATTAAAGACATAATGTTTTTATTTTAAAAATTTCACTTAAATACAGCCGTTTTCATCTCATTGTATGTATCTGCATAAAATATAGACAGCAGTTATATATATCATTCATTTCTTTATAATAATCGTTTTCGTCACCATGAGCGCTCTCTATATTCAATAGTTTATGATTGGTTGGTTTTAATTGGTCGCTCTTGGTCATTGTCTCCTGAGAAGAAATTAAAGACATATATAAAGGGAAAGCAGCATTGAATCGTTTCATTTCTCGAAGATAACTGAAGGCAATCATAATTCTTCTTACGTTTTGAACAAATAAAAAAAATTTTCAAATATACAACATCTCTAATCTTGAATGAGTCAGTAATGTAGATTAGAGTTGAGAAGAATATTTAATTGAAAACTATCGATCTTAGGTGCCTGATATTCCTTAGATTTTTTGTGAGGTGAACGGTATCAGAATGAATTGAAAATATTCGCGAAATGCAATATTGCAAAAATAATGACACATTATTCATAAAAGAATGATACATTGTACTGCAAGGGACAAGACCTCTTTCGAACACATTATAGTATGTAGACGGTGTTCGGACTGATCAACAATATGATAATTCTGAAGATTTTGAAATCAATCTCACTCTAAATGTCGCATTATATTATATGCCTTATTTAATACCGTAAATTGGTTTGACTTGGTTATTGAGGGGGTAAGAGAATTAACAGGGAAAAAAGCCTTATACGGCACTGATTTCAGCTTATTGATTGACACATTAATAGTGACAGTTCGAGTTTGATCAATTGTTTCGTATTTTCTACTATTTTTTGAGACGACATCTGTTAGAGTAACATAAACAGCAGATAAATCTTGATCATTAAAATACAATTTCCATCATAGTTTTGAAATATAAGCAAATCGGATTTAGTGTTTAAATGGATTAGTAATTGACTTCTTGTTAAATATTATACATGACATATGCTGGAGAAATTATTATATTTTTTTTTGTCGAACGAGTTTAAATAATTAAACTTTCTGTTGAAATTATTTGTTGTATTATTTTTGCTTTATATGATGCACAAATGTACGAAAGATCTTATGTAGAATCACGAACAATTGATTGTACTAGAAAGTACTGAGTAGCGAAATATTCATCAGAACAGATACATACATAGGAAATGTAGATATTTAAAATATTTTTCAAGCTTTCCTTTCAATCTGAGCTAGTTCTAGTTTACTTTCGAATGGATCAATCTTCTCTAATGCGATGATGATAAGATTTATAAAGTAGAGCTAGCATTAAACTAAAGAAATAGCAGGCAATGAGATGTAAGGAGAACAGTTTGAGCAACTAACCCTTGAAGTGAAAACGATGACTTGAAATTTGTAAGGACTTGGTCAACTATTGCTTAACAACTATGAAAAGTAAAGAAAGAAGAAGTAAATTTATATAATTGAGAGCTAATCAGAAATGTCAATGAACGATATTAAAAATGTTGATGATTATTTAAATTTTCTTTTTGTTAGTCAATTAATCGATTCTATTCAAAAATATGATTAAATTAATGTTACATTAATATTTATTCACCTATTTATCTACTTATTATTTCAATACTTTTTGAAGAACTTTCTCTTTCTTCACTACGTTCATATTCACATTCAGGTTAGTTATACGTTTTTCTATTTACACATTTATCTATTTTTTTCCTAACAGTGGAACAGAAAATAAAAACACGTAGCTTAATCATCCGATAATATTGACATCTTATCATTTTGTTTCACTGTTAGAAAAAGAAATAATAGACAGATGTGTATGTTGTGATCAAAATTAATATTCAGTCAAACTTAAAATTTGTCAACTCAAAATGAACATTTAAAAATTGGGCAGACAAAATTTAAATTTTGATTTTGTCAAACATAATGCTAGTCAGAAATAAAGTTTTTATTTTGATTGGACAAAGTTGAAATTCTTCTTTTAATGAAAATGAAAAGCTAAAGAAAAACAAATAGTTAAAGTAGTGACAAGCTTTAAAGTCAAAAAAATTATTAACAAATATTATAAAAGTGTGAGGGCAGTGGGGGCTTGTAGTAGTGTCAGTTCATATTTATTTCAATTTAATTTATCCGTAAATTAAACTATCGATAATTTAAATTTAAAATAAATGTAAACTAGTTTTCTGAATAATTTATATATAAAAGTAACTTTAAACTATCATAATTTATATTTAAAATAAAGTTGTACTTTTCTCATACTTTAAATTTAAAATGAAATTTAAGCTGTTTTAAACTAAATTCATTTTTAAAAATAAATATTGAGAATTAACATTTATTTTTAAATTTAAATTCTGAAAAAAACTATAACTTTATTTTAAATATAAGTTATAATAGTTTAAAGTTATTTTTATATATAAGTTATTAAGAAAGCTAGTGTACACTTATCTTAAATTTAAATTACCGATAATTTAATTTACGCATGAATTAAATTGAAATAAATATAAACTGACTCTACTACAAGGACCTCATTGTCCTCACACTCTTATAATATTTTTTAATAATTTTTTTGAATTAAAACTTGTCACTACTTTAACTATTTGTTTTTCTTTAGCTTTTCATTTTCATTAAAAGAAGAATTTCAATTTTTTCTGGCTAAATTTAAAATATGACCGAATATTAATTTCGACCACAACATGTATATTGAAAAATTTATGATTAATCTTAATGTAAGTATGATTGCAGTGAGCAAAGAGAAAGTTCTTCAGAAAGTTTTGAAATAATAAATAGATAAATAGATGAATAAATATTAATGTAACGTTAATTTAATTATATTTTTGAATAGAATCGATTAATTGACTAGCAACATCTGAAAAGTACTAATGTAAAACATTAAAGGGAGACATGCGGATTAAAATGAGTTTTTTTACATAAACTGAACCATTAATACCATGAGAAAAAAAACGAAAATAATGATGTAAAACGGTCACAAAAAATGCCAAAAAATGGTCTGTTTTATAGACATTATTTCGCTGTTTCATATACAATTTTCACTTAGTCAAAGATAGTCATTTTAATGTGTCACAGAAAAGTCATTTTAATGCACCACATAAAAAGCATTTTGAGGCATTTTTTGTGACAGTTTTACATCATTATAATTATGTACATTTGAAGACATTTTAATACCATTTTACCATTCTTATCCCTGCCTGGGGAGTGGGTGTGGATGTGGGTGGTGAGGGGTGTGGGTGTGGGTGGGTGTGGGGTGTGAGTGTGGGTGTGGTTGGGTGTGAGTGTGGGTGTGCGATGCGGATGTGATTGTGGGTGTGAGTGTGAGAATAGTTCTTCTCCTCATACCAACACCCGCACTCACACCCACACCCATCCACACCCACACCTGCTCGCTGTGGGCTCGTCTTCCATTGCAAAAAGAGGAAGAGTGCACCAATCGATAGAGAATTTAATTCTCTACAAAATGATGAATCCCATTTAGAGGAATTCGGTTTTCAAATGGGGTTAAAATTCCAAAAAAACCCCGCATCCCGAAAAACCGGGATTACCGATATTAAAATCGCTGGCTGTGAACTCATCTTGCATTGCAAAAAGAAGATCAGTAGAGCAATCGATAGAGAATTTAATTCTCTACAATATAGTGCATTGCTTATGGAGAGTATCGATTTTCGTGGAGGCACGGAAAGGAAAAAATAGACGAGATTAGTATATTTCATCTTCGGATATGGGATATTATGGCCCATACCTGGGGAGTGAATATACATTTCCGCTAGAGAGGGAATATAGCATTGATTAGGGCAGTTGATTCTCTAGAAGCTGATGTATTCCTTGTGGACGGAATGAATTTTTCAATGTTGTCTAAATAGTAGAAAAAGACTCTGGTAATTTGTCGCATGCGTTCTCTATGGATTGGTATTCTCATCCTCTTTTTGCAATGGAGGATGAGGCCACAGTGAGCGATTTTAATATCGCTAACCCCGTTCTTGGTGGACCAGAGTCTGTTTCTTCAGATTTTGACCCCAGTTCAAAATCAAATCTATCTATGTGAGATACATCGTTCTGTAAAGAATTAAATTCTCTATCGATTGGTATACTCATCCTCTTTTTGCAATAGAAGATGAGCCCACAGGGTGCGATTTTAATATCGCTATCGTCGGTTCTTGATGGTTCACAGTCTTTTTTTTCGGATTTTGATCCCAATTCAAAATCGAACCTCTCTACGTGAGACACATCGTGTTGTAGAGAATTAAATTCTCTATCTATTGGTATACTCATCCTCTTTTCGCAATGCAAGATGAGTACACAGTGAACGATTTTAATATCGTTGATATAGGTTTTCTCGGGGTATCGGATCCTTTTTTTCGGATTTTCACCCCAGTTCAAAATCGAATCCCTCTATGTGAGATGCATCGTGTTCTAGAGAATTAAATTCTCTATCTACTGGTATACTCATCCTCTTTTTGCAATGGATAATGAGCCCCTAGTGAGCGATTTTAATATCGCTAACCCCGATTCTTGGGGG